TTCTATCCATATTATACAATTTTGTAGTAAAAAGTAAAAATACTTCGTTACAGTACTATTTTTTTGGGAGTATCTATACTTTACTTGAGTTTTTATATTTCAGCCGACTTTTACTTTTACTCCACTTCATTTCCTAATTAAAATGTATACTTTTACTCCGATACATTTCCCCGAAGCATATTCGTTATTTACTACAAAATAGTCAGAAGTCAGAAGAACACGGACTGCAGGAAAGCAGGTTTGACGAATCAGTGGTCTGACATTTGCAAGTTAAGACTCATAAAAACACCATTGCTCATCTGCAAACAATTGCATTTACTTGTACTTTTACTTTCAATACTTAAGTATGTTTAAGATTAAAAAAGTACTTTTCGTACTTAAGTACAATAAATATCACATACTTTAAGACTTTTACTCAAGAAATATTCTAAACGGTGACTTCAACTTCTACCAAAGTCATTTTCTGGTAAGATATCTGTACTTTTACTTGAGTATGGCTTTCAGGTACTTTATACACCACTGGTCTTTTCTAAAGGATTATTTTTGTGAAACTACATGTGTTGCTTGTCTTGGCCAGGACTCTCTTGCAAAAGAGATGTTTAAATCTCAAGGTTTTTATTTTCTTGGTTAAAGAAAGAATAAACAAACAAATAAATAAATAAATAAAATGCTGTCAAAGTCTGTTTTTTTGGCAGCCTTTTCTTAAAAGTACAGTTGCTTGCATGATTGCCGTGCATGCATGGCTTACACAACCGTCTTTGAGCCAGGTCTGGAAGCCCATCTTAAAAGTACAGTTGCTTGCATGATTGCCGTGCATGCATGGCTTACACATCCGTCTTTGAGCCAGGTCTGGAACCCCAGTTTTCCAGCCTCTGGTTTTCCAACCCCAGAGCCGCACTGAGTCACGATCCACTCCACCAAACGCTCCTCCAGCTCAGGGTTGTACTTCTGCTCGATTTTATCCTGCACCTGGCGGCTCATCCCATAAGATGGACCCTTGTTTGCCATGGTTGAAGCTCCCTGCGTAGAGGAGAAGTCAATAGTATAACATGAAGCTTCTTAATATGTGCAATTCCATGTCAGATTTATCATAATTTTATATTGTTTTTGTTCCAGTGTAGTCTGTCTGAAATTTTCCTGTCAAATGTTATTAGACAGTTTCAACATGAATAATGCTTGTGTGTTGTTGTGTAAAGATACAAAACAAGAACACAGTTGGGGGACGCTTTTCATTATTTTACCTTTCCTCAAATCCTCTTCTCCTGAAACAAACCTTTATCTATTTAAATTAAGCTAAACACCACCAGAATAAAGTGGGAAAAAAGCCAATGATGCAATTGGAAGCAGCCACAAAGCCATGAAATCGAAGTACAAATCATGCTTATAAATGTTGTGCGGTGTAAACAGTCCAACATTTCCAACGGCAAACAGTTCAGCTCAATTATAAAAAAATATGTTATTTCAAATGGATAACTTGAGCTAAACTGTTACACAAAAAGCAACCATAAAGGCAGAGGCTGAGAGATTCACATGTTCATATAGTCCTTGAGTGGAGGTGGATGGGGAAATCAGTATTGTACAGATGAATATGACAGGATCAGATGAACATGCTCCTCCAGAAACACCATCAGTTACAGTCACACATCTCAGCAGTCCGTAACACCATCGAAGCGAAGCTCAAATCACACACAGCACCTTCACCTGTGCTGCCATTCTGCGCTTTACCACGTTCCTCTGAAGTCCCAACCTTAAGGAATGAGTTTAAAGTCATTCACCCTATGAGCATTACATCTGCACCGTTTTGTTAAATTAGTTCATTTGTTTTTTAATTATGAGTCATTTCAGGACAAATAGTACAAATTTATTTGCTAAAATTTTATATAATATAATAAAAAGGAAAATAAACCAGTATAAATGTGTCAAATGTAAATGGTTTCCGGTTTTCCAGAACGTTAGATCACACATTACCAAACCAGAGGTGAAGTTAGTCCTGAGAAAAATTAAAAACTTAAAGTGCTTATGTTTTCTAATGCTATGACATTTACACAAGTGTCATTTAAAGGGATAGTTCACCCAAAAAGGAAAATCCTGTCATCATTTACACACATTCACTTCCATAGTATTTTTTCCCCCATACTATGGAAGTCAATGGGGACCAGCAACTGTTTGATTAGTGATATTCTTCAAAATATCTTCTTTTGTGTTCATCAGAAATATGAAACTCATACAGGTTTGGAATAACCCGAGAGTGAGTAAATGATGACAGAATTTTAAATTTTTTTTTTTTGGGTGAACTATCCCTTTAAGTTTCCATATCGTTTCCATTTCAATATTGCATTAGGCATTCTTTTTTTCACCCTGATCTGAGTGCTTTAGTTTTGTTCTGCATCAATGATAATGTAGGGGAATTGGAATAGGCTAGGTCTGCGTTAAATGTTTATGAAGAAAGATATACATGTTTGATACGAGTGCTGTAATTAACAACAAAGAAGAAGCTCACGCTACACATCAAAATTTCAAATATTACAGAAACACTGAAGTGAACTTGATAACTACTTGCAATCAAAAAGTCATGAAAGATACTAAATTTAAGCTATTTTTTCAGGTCTGGTTTTTGTTTTTTAAAGATAGTATGTAGATTTTGTATTGTAGAGCATGTAGAGTTGCATGGATTATTACTTTACAGTATGTCATTTAAAAGCCACAGCAATCAGCAAAATACCTGACTGAAAGGAGTTGAAAGCATGTGAAAAACATACTTACTCTAGTGAAAATGAAGATGACTTTGTCGTTCGTGCAGACACCAGTCACTCTGGAGCTTTAATATGTTCAGCAGAGTATCGCTGTTTCAAGACGAGATGTCTTTTCCATTAGAGAAACAAAAAACGAGGCATTCAGTGAAAGGGGGCAGAGAAAAGGAAATTGACGCCTTAAAAGGACACGCTGTTTTTCCTCAAGCCCACCCTCCTCTCCGCTCTGCACTTGAGCTTTCTGGTTCGGCCCTTTGTTAAAGCAAAGCCTTATTTGGGAAGAGGCTTGGATGAGGACAGCAACCAAGCCAAGAGGCTGTAGTTTGGTCAGAGAGCAGAATTCTCCAAATACCCCACCACTGCATCAGCAGAGAGAAAGAGGAAGGCTGTGTGAACGCATAAGCAGAGGGCTTTGAGTTTAGACAGGGACATAAATGGAATAGTTTCGCAGATGGACTGTATAGATTATAGATGAATCATCACACATCAGAGACGCAGAGCACGGTCTGTCAGCGGTACGGTATATAAGGTATCTCAGTGCAGAAGCACTGGCAGAAGGGAAATAAGAGAGAGCTGAGGAGTGCTGAAGCAACATGATTTACTGACACTTAGGAAGCAACCGCTAACAAGGCCTTCTATGTACAAAATACTCCCCAGTGTGTGTTCAATACTACGTTATCTAATGCTGGAAGCATGCAATGCTACTATATTTTAGTCACACTTTATTTTAAGGTCCAATTCCCAATATTAAGTAACTTTTAACTATGACTTTAGTCGCACGAAACTCCCAATTTGCTGCGTATTAGTAGTTAGTAAGGTTGTTGTTAAGTTTAGGTGATCTTGGTTTTGGTACTTAAAAATTGGTACTTAAAATGTTATTTAACTGAGGGATTAATTTCATCGACCATTACTTTTAATGTAAACTGTATCTTGTCATATCTCATATTAGTGTGCTTCTTTACAAGGATTGATTTTGCTGAAAAAAATGATATGATGTTATATTATGATCACAGTAAAACTCATGAAAACTTTCCAAATGACCTTTATGCATACAGATATTATTATTACTGTATATCCTATATTCTAAACCTAGACTTTAATTCGTAAATATAAAAATCCAACATAAAATTATTCTGTTTAAAACAATATTAGTTAAAAGAAATAATCATAAACCATTTTCATTGCATTATATGAAAGCGATTTCTCTTGTTTTTTTTTCTCACAACATGAATGCACATATATGCATGTATTTATTCATGTATTGTTAGGCAGGGACAACATTTCTTTCTTACATGACAACCCACCTCAAGTGACAATCGAAGTTGTTAGTGATGCACAGTACTTACGTATATAAAGTATTTACTTTCAAACTAGTAACAATAAAATAATAATAAACAAATCAATTAAAGCTGTCTCCTTTCACTTCTGGGTTATGATTTGATTTGTGATGACAAAACTGGATTCAGTTCAAGTGTCAAGCTTGTTGACGCTGATAAATCGATTGAAAATAGATAGATAGTATTACTTGCATTAACGTTTTTGCAGAAAGTAGATACTGCTGTGTAAAACCTTTAGAGCGAGAGTGAGTGAGAGAGACAGAGAGAATAGTAGTATAAGGTAAACAGTAGTCATTACATAATAAACATTTCATAAAGTATATGCTGCATTGCTGTCATTTGGAGTAACACTTTACTTAAAGCTTTTATGTATAATGCATTATAAAAGTAGTTTTAATACATTTAGTATGCCTTGTAATGTACCTTTTAATGCATGCATAATTGTAACCACAATTAATACATTATAACACTTATCAACTCATTGTTACACTATGCATTTTAAATTCGGTTATAATTATTTATGACAAGATATCATGTATTACAACGCACATTATGAGTAATGCAATAGCCTTTAATAACCCTTTATAATGCATTATGCATAAAGGCTTTAAGTAAAGTGTTACCACATTTAGTTATCATTTTATAAATAAATATGGTTTTATATTTTTATTCAGTATATATAAAAAGCTAGCATATAAAAAGATGATGTCAACAAACTAGAAGGAATAAGCACCACAGAAAACTATTAAAGTCACCTTTATTCATAAAGCCATATACTGTTTTTTGCTAGGATTCATTTAGTCATGTTTATGACAATTTTATATGAAGACTCACACATGGACATCTTTTTCATGGTTTTAATCTCTGATGAAGATTGCTGTGTATGTATATACAGTTATTTCCCTCTCATTGCTCAGAGAAGGGATAGACCAGGTATCCGCTGAACATGTTTTGCCCCTGGGTGTCTCCACACAGCTGTCTACCTGACATCAGCTCAACATACACCTGACAGCCGCGTCTGAGCTGCAGAAGAACCGTCTGAGTGCTGCTGTCCTCCGAATCCTCACGGTTATCTTCCCAGGACGAGGCCATCAGCTGGCCGTTCTTCATCAGCTGCACCTTCTGGTAGAGCCGCTGACCTGCGATGCCAACCCTGGAGTACGCCGTGAAGGAGAAGGAGTAGAGGCCAGCGTGAGGAGCCGTGAACGTGCCTGTGAAGAATCAGGATCAGGTTGATGTCTCTGTTTGCTTGGCTTATTCTGTTCAAACTTACTGTGAGAAGCTGGCTCTACAAGGACGACGTGAACTGGATGCATTGCATTGCATAAATCTAAACAGGAGATTAGTTGGGCCTACACTCTTAAAATGCCCCTATTATGGATTTTTGTAAACTAGCTTTCATGCAGTGTGTAACACAGCTCTAAGTGAATGAAAACATCCTGCAAAGTTTTAAATCTGAAAGTGCACCGTGTATAAAGTTATTTCTCTCAAAAGAAAGAGTCGACTGAGTAATTGAAACGAGTCGTTTTTAAAACAAATCCCAAGCCGTTTTATGTTGACGTCAACATGAAATATTAGCATATTGCCCGCCCACTTGTTGGTCTGAATGAAAATGCAAATTCATTCTTTGCCACTAGGTGCCGCTTTTGGAGCGGTAAAAATAGCGGTTTCCCCGGTAACGCAGTAAACAAAGCAGCACTGCGCTCACAAACGCTGCTTTTATCCATTATTAAATGGAAATTAAATCGACCCAAAAAATTGACCCTTATGACTGGTTTTGTGCTCCAGGATCACATATTATTGTTCTCAAAATACTGTCATCAGTTTGAAAACAAAACTTTCAGATGTTTTATGCGTCATTTACATGTGGTTTGGAGTAGATACAAATACTTTCATAAATCTGATAATTTACAACAAAACTACTTAACGAATGATTCCGACAAAAGCTCATTCTGCTCATGTTTCATAGACTAGTGTGACCGCAGCATTATAGTCTCCTGTTTTCCACTCATTTCCTGATGTTCTGGTTTTTGACGCTGCCCTGAAATATGAAGCAGCATTGGCGCAGTGTATTGTGGCCTGCTTACCCAATGCAGGATTGTAGCCATTGCCCTGATTGAGGGAGACAGACTGGTAAGAGATAGACACGTTGCTGGTAAACGGCCCAAGACATCCACTCATTGGAAGCATTGCAGCAGTGAAGGCTATTTTGCATCCAGCTACAGGAAGGGACAGAAAGCAAGGAAAATGTAACTGTTCAAGTTAAGATTTTCATATATTTTTTCCAAAATGATAAGCAAATATGAAGCAACAATACCTGTGAGCTCCTCTATTTGGCTGTTCAGATGAGACAGTCCTTCCCATAAGCCAACCATACGTATGAACGTGGCCTCCTCCAGCTCAAACAGAGGCTGTGCAATACAACAGCAGCTCTTCTGTCTCCCGAATGCACATTCACAGTCCCATCCGCCGCAGGGTAGGGACCCTGTGTAACTCACTGATGAGAGTATCAACGAAGAGATGTCAGAAAAATAGTACACTACCAGTCAAAAGTTTTTGAACAGTAAGATTTTTTATTTTTTTTGAAAGAAGTCTCTTCTGCTCACCAAGCCTGCATTTATTTGATCAGAAATACTGCAAAAGTATTTTAAATTTTATTATTTAAAATAACTGCTTTCTATTTGAATATATTTTTTAAATGTAATTTATTTCTGTGATCAAAGCTGAATTTTCAGCATAATAAATAAATGTTTCTCGAACAGCAAATCGGAATATTAGTATGATTCCTGAAGGATCATGTGACTGGAGTAATGATGCTGAAAATTCAGCTTTGAAATCACAGGAATAAATTACATTTTAAAATATGATCAAATAGAAAAGTTATTTTAAATAGTAAAAATATTTCAAAATTTTACGACTGTATTTTAAATCAAATAAATGCAGGCTTGGTGAGCTGAAGAGATTTCTTTAAAAAAAACATTGCAAATTTTTTGTCCAAAAACTTTTGACTGGTAGTGTAGAAGTGAGACAAAGACCTGCAAAACCTGTATTCATATGAACAAATGATCAACTTCTTCACCAGCAGCTTGTTGCAGGAGGTCAAAGGCAGCGGTAGCCTCCGCTCGCGAGAAGAGACTGAGAGCCATCGCAACACACAGAGCAGTCTTCATCCTCAGCATGCAGAGTCCAGCGGCTTCTATAATTCCCCTACTATATACGGTGAAAAACTGTATTGGACCAGTACTTCAGTAGGTTGGTATATTAACATTATTTCAGTTAATGAAATTACGGTATTTAACTGTAAATTTAAGTTAAAACCGTAAAACCTAAAATGTTGCTACTGTATTTTTTACGGAATTTTACGGAATTTTTTTTTACAGTGTAGGTCTGTAGTACAGTGTTCCCAGACATGTTTCTGGAGGCACACTAACAGTACACACTTTGGTTGTCTTTCTTATCAGAGAAGTTGTTATTATATATTATTACCAACCTCCACAACCATTGGAGAGAGCTTGACGGTCAACATGCGTGTCTTCATTAACAATTACATTTTAGCCTTAATTTCATCGAATTGCTGTCAGAGTTAGTCATTGTTTGTGCATACCAAAGAAATGAATCATAAACTGAATCCTACCTGTCACTAAATTGCCTGTGATTGTCAGTGAGGTACTACAACTGATCTTCCTATATGTGACCCTGGAGCACAAAAGCAGTCTTAAGTCGCAAATTATTGATTTTTCTTTTATGCCAAAAATCATTAGGATATTAAGTAAAGATCATGTTCCATGAAGATATTTAGTAAATTTCCTACCGTAAATATATCAAAACTTAATTTTTGGTTAGTAATATGCATTGCTAAGAACTTCATTTGAACAACTTTAAAGATGATTTTCTCAATATTTAGATTTTTTTGCTCCCTCAGATTCCAGATTTTCAAATAGTTGTATCTCAGCCAAATATTGTCAATGGAAAGATTATTCATTCAGCTTTCAGATGATGTATAAATCTCAATTTCACAAAAATGGACCCTCATGACTGGTTTTGTGGTCCAGGGCACCATATATATATATGAGAGGACACACAACTGATAAAATAAATCACTCTAGCATCTGTATCTAGAATAGTACTTTTCCTGTATCCCGTGGGAAAACAAGAACAGATCTCTTTTAAAATTCAACTAAAAGCCTGAAAAAACCTTGAATGTCTTTAAGACATGATCTTCACAAACTTTGTTTTTCAATCCAGATTTTAGTTGCTCCTCTGAAGCTCTCATTACTGCAGTCCCCGAACCAGTAAACATAGTTTTTGTTCCTGGTGGACCGTTAAACAATGCTGAATGCTAGGCTCCCCCAAAACCTGCAAAAACAGCCAATCAGATTTCAACTTTTGTCTTTGTGAAAGCGTTTCCAGTTTGAAGAATCAATGGAAATCTGTTTTGCAGAAATTTGCAGAAGCTAAAATACCTCACCATAAAAATTACAGCGTCAGGTGAGGATAATCATCATTTTAAAATCATTTAAAAAAATGAACAAAAAAAGAACCCTAGCTATGTGTACTGTGTTAGACTAACTGAGATTTGTCAACTGTTGCTCTCTTGTTGCTCTGATTGCTTCATGTGTAAGTCGCTTTGGATAAAAGCGTCTGCTAAATGATTCAATGTAAATGTCATCACAACCAAAAGCAGGCTAAATACATCTAAACATAAACCAGATCTATGCGAGTTATTAATATAAAACAATTACTTGCTAGAAACAAGTGAGAAACTGCCTCAATGCTAGATTTTCATTAGCTGTTTACAAAACATAATTGATATGTTTTGTATGTTGGTTTTAGGTCACACTATTTTGATAGTCCACTTTAGACATTCTATTGCGCAACTAAATGCCAGCTAACTTTCATTAGAGTATTAGTAGACTGTTAGGTTAGGGTTAGTAGAATAAGTTGACATGTATTTACAAAGTTACTTGTAAAATATCCATCAAAATAAAGTGTTAGCAGATATTAAGCAGACAGTCGCTAATACTCGAGTTACAAAGTTACCTATAGTAAGTAGAATGTCTAAAGCGGACTATTAAAATAAAGTGTTACCGAATTTTACATTTAATCAGATCAGTTTATGTAGTATACTGCAAAGCTGTGCGTTAACAAATGTAGATATACTTGAGTATTTTATCCACTTTCCTTTAATGATATTTTTTAAAATACTCACTGTGATGAAGATAACAGATCAGGTGCAGAAGAATTGAGTCAGTTAAAGACATAAATGGAGTTGTAAGTGGAGCTTTCCGTGCAGCTTTATGCAGTGGGTGGAGTTGCTCACAGAGTGGCTCAGCCTCTGAAGCATCTGATAAGAAAGAATATGAGACAATGCAATGCCTTTCATTTGTCCCACTTGTATGAATGCACGAAAAGGTTACTTTGTAACTGATACCCAGAGTAATATTTATAACCAGGATACTTTCAGCTCCTCATGGACTGCAGATAATGATATCATTCCCGCTGCTGTGTGATTTTTCACATCATTTGTGTATTATTACTGAATGTAGCAAAATCTGAAGTCTCAATCTAGAGGTGGGAGCAGGATTCGGTTCCCGGATTCTCAGAAAAGGGTGTAGACTAGAGAAAGATCATTGTATTTTAATGTTGTCCCAAAGCTTGAGAACAACTCTTCCATGAATGTTCTGTAAGATTGAAGTGATATATATATTGTGTATATATAATGCAATAGAGAGGAAGTTTGACTGTGAGATGGCCATCGAAGTTGTGTAAGATGAAACTACAGTGTTTGTGCATCTGTCACAAAGAAAAAAAAACTATCCTGAAGAGATAAAAGGCTAAAGCGGATTCTTCAAAGTGAATTTTAGATGCGCTTTTAAGTTTTTTACCACAACATTTACACTTTTAAATGAATCATTGATAATCAATGGTATACGCTTATCATAAATGTACCATTTCATTTGTGTAAAACTATTAAAATGGCATAGAATTATTCAAATGTAGAAAGCACTGTGATAGAGACAGCTTGTTTCAATGCACCATTAAAAAATACACACTCTAACACATTCAAATAAAGCCATGTGTAAGCACATATAGCTGATTTACATTTACTATAATAAATAATATGTTGATGTACCATGAAAATGTATTTGAATTGTAAAAATTGCTTCTTTTTTTTTAATTTCAACCATTTCTACTTTAACACGATGTTAAACTAACATTACATTATCACCATTGTTTTTGTTAATATTTCAACACTGTTTCAACATTACCCGAGGGTGCAAAAGTAATGTTGAATTAATATAGTTTTGTAACATGAATTCAATGCATTAAGCACTGACCCATCAACATTGACATGACATTGTTTTAATGGTTGCTTGCTGTCTGGGAAAGGACAGGAAAAGAAGTTGAGCAGGTGTTTCTGTACTTATATATTTAAGTACCTAAACTAATTCCCATTTCCCCAATGCAGTTAAATGTAAAAGCAAGTTTTCAAAGGATTGTAAACCAGGCAAGCAAGATAGTTTTATCCCTCAAAAATATGAAAGATATACAAATTACAAAGCCTAAATGCATGAACCTAAACATTATCTTAGTTTGAAAATGAATAAATAAACAAACAAATGCATTTCACACAGTAAAACAATTAAAGACAAAATTGAAACAAAAGATTAAGGTACCAAAAAGCAAAATACTTGAAATGTGGAGGACAAAAATGATGATAGGTGACGTACAGATGGCCTGGCAAGGCCTAAAAACAATGATGGAAGACAGCCGAAGCAGCATCAGATCCAGTGATCTGATCATGTTCATTTTTAATATTATATCCTGGTTTAACTCTATTTTTGTTAAGTGTAAACGCAAGCTTTCAAGGACTGTAAACCCGGCAAACAATATAAAAGACAATGTGCCTCTTTCAGAACTCTATACAAAGGAAAGTTGAAAGGGAAGCATTTCATATTGATATGGATCCATTACATCCTATCCATGCTTCTTTTCAATGGTTCCCATCTGGGAAATGGTTTAAGGTAACCTTGTTTGTATAAGAAAATGTTTGTCCCAATTGCTATTAGTATCTTAAATAAGAACATACAAAGGTATGAAGAACAAACATGTATATGATTGTTTTAGTATAAGACTTTGTCAGAGACAAATGTCTATTCTTCTAGGATAGACAAAGCCTTTTTTGAATAATATATATAATTATATAAGACTTATCAATTGGTGTTTAAATAGTTTTAAAATATCATAGTTCAAAACATGTCAACTTTCCAAAAATATTTCATGTCAGCTGCTGAAATTGTACCGACCAACAGTCAGTGTACTTAAAGGGTTAGTTCACCCAAAAATGAAAATGAGCCCACAAATTACTCACCCTCAAGGCATCCTAGGTGTTGCAGTGCTTCTGTCCAAAAGAAGTGAAATAAAAAGCGCACATCCATAATAAAAAGTGTCTCACACGGTTCTGGGGGGTGAACAAAGGCCTTCTGTAGCGAATCGATGCGTTTTTGTAAGAAAAATATCCATATTCAAAACGTAATAATCACTTTAATGTAGCTTGCGCCAGCAGTTGTACACGGAAGCAGTTCCGGGCGGATGACGTATGAGGTCAGTGCTGCGCATGCGCTGGTGAGTCTCGTGAAAACCAACGTTTGTTAACAGGAGCAAAGGAAGCAAAGTTTCCTTACTTTAACAAAGGAAAACCAGTCTCCTCTTGGCTTATATCGAAATCCTCTGACATTCTTCTTTACAAATCCTCGTTTTGTACTTCTAATAAGTGACCGTTGTTTTGTTTTGATCTCTCCGCTTCACTTCCGCGTTCGTCACTTCTGAGCGGCGCATGCGCAAAACTGAACTCATACGTCATCCGCCCGGAGCTGCTTCTGTGTACAACTGTTGGCGCAAGCTACATTAAAGTGATTATTACGTTTTGAATATGGATATTTTTCTTTAAAAAACACATCAATTCGCTACAGGAGGCCTTTGTTCAGCCCCCGGAGCCGTGTGAGACACTTTTTTTTATGGATGGGTGCTTTTTATTTCACTTCTTTTGGACTGAAGCATGCAACACCCGCTGAGTGGCATTAAACAGCTTGAAAGATGAAAGGCAATTTTTAATATAACTCTGACTGGATTCGTCTGAAAGAAGAAAGCCATATACACCTAGGATGACTTGAGGGTGAGTAATTTGTGGGCTAATTTTCATTTTTGGGTGAACTAACCCTTTAACACAAAAACGTTGCAGAAAAAAAAATCTGTAGTGCTTTATATGAAACAGATTGTTTCAAAGCAGTTTTACAGGGATAAACAGGGAAGCATGATTCAAAGATGCAAACAGAGGTAAGTTTAGTGTTCAGATCATCGATTATGAAATGAGTTCAATTCAGCTGTAAAGCAGCTCTGGAGTGATGTCATCATCCAGCTCATTTCAATTCAGTTCTCATCCAATAGTGTCAGTGCAGTCACTTCAGTAACATTGAATTAAGTGGCTAAGCAAGCCAGAGACAAGGAAGCCAAACTCAACTGGTGACAGAAATGGAGAAAAACCCTTGGGAGAAACCAGGCTCATCTGGCCAGACGAAACCAGCATGGTGTGGTTTCATTCCAGGCTGCAACACAAGTCAGACTGTGGACAGGCATTACTCAGAACATCCATCGTTCCTTCTGCTTGAAGATTGAATACATCACATGGGGAATGAATCTAAGCTGGACACAAAGGCTGTGCAGAGGACTTGTCTAGTTCTTGGGGTTTTCGCTGAGGATTTGTGCCGATGAGTTCTTCACAGGGGATCTGTCACTATGGCTCATCTAGTTTTATAATAAACATCACTGCAGTTGGGATCAAACTGTGACAGCTAGGGTAAACGTACCTATTAAGCTCACCAAAATCTACATTGAGACATTTTTAGTGCACAAGATATTGGTTTCAGTACAAAAAGTTATGTTAAAATAAAAGATTAATCTCTCACACAAAAAATATTAAATTTTATTTTAAATGACAAAAGCATTTCAACTAAGATATACATCATTAAATGCAAAAAGTCTGGCTGTGCTTAATGGGTACATGTTTGTACCTTTTAAGCACACCCCTTTCCATTAAGCTCACATCGTGTTTTATTAAAAATTCTTGTTTATTTTAAACAACCTTTTTAAAGAATAATTAATTTTTTTTTTTTAATGTACAAAGTCAATCACAAAAAACAAACAAAAAAAAACACAAAAATCAAGCAACAAGGCATTCAATTTGATCAGTTATAAATTCATAATGACATGTCATTTAAGCACATTGCATCATCTAGACTAGTCCATGTTCAGCTAAGTAACACAAATTAAAAAATCAAATAAAACAAACCAATAAAACATTTAATTCACGGGGATGAACACAGAAACTAGCCTCATTATGAAGCCTCTTATTAAATGGATCAACTTATCTATAGTCTCTTAAGGCTACACAAGGAATACACTACACAATTTTCCACTGATTTACAGTCAAGTTGACGCTAGTTGCCAAAGGTCAGAGCCGGTCTGCAGATTTGAGTTATTTAATAGAAAATAACATATTTAATAGAAAATCACGTACTGTATGATGATCACAGATTCTCAGTCATTTAGTGTATGATGCCCAGTTTTCCTTTGTGACTATTTACAAAGTCTGTAAGTGTATGATGCCTGGTGTTTTAAAAATCTGTTCAAATTTTAAGTCGTGTAGTGTATTCCAGCCTTTAGTCGCTTTTTTTACTGGACAGATACGACAGGTTTCTGTAGGCGCCTTCTTTGAATGGACGACATGCCTCTTTCATCTTTGAGCATAAACTGTAGTTATGTCTAGATTTTGTTATTTTAAAGCTGTGAAAATAAGTTATTAACCATTTTATAAAGATTAACTTAAGTGACGGCCATCAGTTAATATTTAAAGTATGTTTATGAAGTATTTACATAGACGTTCAATGTGGAAGAGCTTAAAGCGAGCACACTGAGCTTAATTGGAGCAGCAACAATTTTTAATAAATTTAATGTAATATTTATTAAAATGACAATATTTTGCTAAATAAATAATCTAGGTCATGTATTAAATTCATACATATTTTATTATGAACAACTATTATTAACAATATCTATGAAATTATACTTTTTCTTATTGATGTCGCACTGAAGCTGTGTGATTTTCATAGTATTGTACCCTTTAAGCTCACCTTAAAATAATATGAAATCTTAAAAAAATACAGCAGTTTAAAACCACAGACCAGCAATAAACTATCA